AGAAAGAAAGAAAGAAAGAAAGAAAGACATTTACTCACAATGTTGAGGGTTGGATTAAGTCCCACTCTACATTACTTCCCACTGAATATTCTGTTTTTGATTATGCAACTGCAAAGTTGCGAAGTTCACATCCATTTATTGCACTCTAGAACAACAGACAAGCGAAACAATGGCTGGGTTTCTTTTATAAGAGAATACAGTGCATTCTCCGACAGAAAAAAGAACAGTCCAGAGGTTTATTTTCTGTCAGACAATGATTCTAATTGCTATTTTCTGCCATCTGAGTCTTGGAAAGCAAATGAATGCACACTGAGCCAGAGGAGCAGGGCAGGTTTCCACTGACACCAGTGCCAAAGGGATGCCACGGCAGAAGACTCTGTCAAGCCCTGGTTGTAAAGAGCAGCAGGTGTCTCAGTGGAGGGCTGAAGGGGCATCGCTTTATTTCCATCACACAAGATGTGAGCTATGACGGAGTGCATAAAGGTGAATTCAGAGGGTGAACATCATGATAATGTAGCTCACTGTCTGCAGCTCTCTGTGCATGCATTCATTAGAGAACAGCATAACCCCTTCATAATTAATAAGGATCAGTATAACACGATTCTGAGATTGTTGTGGTTTAAATGTCTATGATAAACCAACTAATTGCAGATTCAGTCTACATTCGTTTCCATCACTCCTGGACAAAGCATAGTCCATAATCAACTTCCTAATAATAATCCATAAAAACAATTCCTAAAGCAATATTATGGATAGAGGACACATATTTTAGCCAGAACCAATGGTTTGAAGTTAAAAATGTCTTGATGGCTTTGTTCCTTACAAACACGTAGCTTTTTGCTTCAAAAGACATTCATTGATGGACTGGAGTCATGTGGATTGCTTGTGGATTATTGTGTTGTTTTTATCAGCTGTTTGGACTGGAAGTTTGGAGTAAATTTTCAGCAAATTTTTTTTTTGGGTGAACCATTCCTTAAAGAGACTGTTTATAAATCTAAATATGTAAAAATCCATAACATACTTCAGCCTGCCAGCAGAGGAAAAAAGTCAGCCTCATAAACAACTGCTGTGAGAAATCAATGATTGGTCGCCTATATAGCCCATAGGAACCACTGACATAATAGAGTGTCCTGTTGTTTTCTAATTAATGCTGCATGAACATGATTGTGTGCAAAGTTTGACTTTTTGTCTCCATTTTTGCACCATCCATAAATTCATTTGTCATCTAGGCTCATCATAACATAGCCTAACTATTTAATAAAACGGCACTGACTAAATGATCTTTTTGTAAATTTGCATTCACCCCTGTAATTGTAAATCATTGTGTAATCAGAAATACAGCCCACTGCATCAATATTTAAATTTAATCAGCATCTTGACTGGTTGTTTTGGATATTAACCAGTTTGTGATTTATAATTGTTGGTTGTTTGTTAATTTCCTGCATTCACTCTGTTGGGAACCTAGCAAATGATTTTTTACACATTAAGCTGATATCACTTTATGTGAAGAAGCCATCTAGTAAGTTGGCTCTAACCTCAAGCTTGGCCATAAGTATCAATCGACCCATCTGAATTTCTAGGGGCATCTATGGCAAATGTTGCCCACTAAGAAGAAAACCAAGCTTGGAAAGCAATACTGGCATCTGGGATGTCTGTGCACTTGCAGCGAGTAGATACCATTAAGCTTTGTGTCAATCAAAATGCCACAAAACCCACCCATCAATTATGTGAACTTGACTCGAGACTGTGCTGTAAAGGAGTTTATGTTCAAACGTTACTGATAATAAATAACTGCACATTACCAAAGCATGCACTGAAAGGATACAAACCAGACCTCTAAACCCTGTTCACACCATCAATGACTTGCAGCAACACAGTGACCTGAACTCAATGCAATCTGACAAGTAACATCATCTTAAGAGTAGTAGTTACTAGGGCAACAAAGTGTTCAGAAGTCATTGGCAGCACCCGAATATGTGTACTTCCCTACTACACAGTAGGTGAAAAACAGTATGTGAAAGAGTATTCATGAAATAGTAGGCAAAGAGTAACCGGATGACCATTGAGATGGACACTTTAAATGTGAACATGCGAATAGCAAAAGTAGTCACATGACAACAACATGGCGAATGTAGTACATCCGAATTAGATTCATACTACATACAATAATACTATAGAACGCACTTTTTGAACAGTTACGAAATAATTACTTATTCAGAAAAAGTACCTATACTCACCTGGATACAATGGCAGAGAAACACTTAGAAAACTAACAACACAGCAACTTTATGTTTTCGCTGCCAGTGTGAACGGAACTTGCGTTTAGAAGCGGTTTAATATTTGAGAGTTGAATTCAGTTTCACTTCACTTCAACAAAAACATACTGCAACACAAACAGTCCCTCACAACGTCTGCGTTTCTAAATCTTTGCTAGGTATTGTAGCTCAAAATTATCCATAATCGCAGTCACGAAAATATGTACTCTACAGTTATTTTAAACAGAGGCGTTCTGTTTCGTTTAATTAAAATAACTAATATAAACAATTTTTAAATTATCGCTCTGACATAACTTTAAATATATTCAACATAACTTTAAATCATTTTTTCTCCTTTGTCTATCTTACTAGCGATTTTCCGTTGGAAATCAGTAAATGCGCCCATTCACGATCGTTTTATCGCAGATTTTTATCTTCGATCCCACAGAAATCAACTTAATCGCTGCTTTTAGGTTATGATTAAAGTAAATTGGCTAACTAAAATAGAATCAAACAGTCAAATATACACCAACCCAAGTTGCAATTTTACAATTATTAGGACATTTGCACTCACAGTTTAGAGAATGTTAAGATTGTTTCGAAAAATGTGCCAAAGCAATTGAGAAAAACTGTAATAAAATAATACATAATTATTCATCATAGGAATCGAACCCGGATGTCTCGCAGCGCATACGAACATGCTAAAAATTCACTAAGCTTAGGTTCTTAATATTTGTCATGAGTTAAACTGATTTGTGCGCTAATCAAAGACCCCGAAGAGCTCTGGCACAGTTCAAACGCATTAACGATTTCACGCAATTATTTCAATGAGCATCTAATAATAACAATTTATGCATTTAGCAGACGCTGCGCCTTACAGTGCATTCAGGCTATACATTTTTTACCAGTATGTGTGTTCCCTGGGAATTGAACCCACGACCCTTTGCGCTGCTAACGCAATGCACTACCACTGAGCCACAGGAACACACCTAGCGCATCTAACGGAGTTGACAAACATGCGCGCATGAAACCGGTTTCGCCAGACACGAGTCGTATTGGATAAACTTAGAATTTGGTCATTTAGGCTAACTATCACTCAAACGGAATGGTCTTGCATTATGCTCGACCTGCAGCAGCGTATCTGCACTCAACTAATGCGAGCTAAAGTTTAGATTCCTCAGTCAGAGGCTGAACATGCGAAACCCGACAACACTATATAATACTACACTGCAGAGGAGAGCAATAATTTGGGGGGTGAAATTATGCAACATCGCCTGATGTTTCGCATCTATCGCTTTAATCCAGCTTCCCCATGTCATGTTTGATACAGAAGTGCTCCGTTATAGAACAAGAGCACAAAAATAAAAAAAATAAAGCAATACACACTTAGAGATCTATATGACAACACTAAACTCTAACGATGCATGTGCAAACGACGTGCTGTGAAGCACACTAAGGTTCATCTAACGGGAGAAGGGTGGTTTCCTCGGTCGCCGGGGCAAAGTCATCATTTAAATGAGCGAGCATGCATCAGCACACTTATTTACCTTACAAAATGATCACAATCCACTGGAGAGTGTCTCCAAACAAAAAATCCGCTCGTGAATCCCTTCTCCGGCCCCAAGTCCCTTCGTCCACTCTTATCCAAGTCTGGCAAACGTTGAGCAATAGAGTCTGACAGCAGCGGAACCCTCCGTGAAGTCTCCGGTTGCACGAGCGAGCGAGTGGGCGGGACCTCTAGCGGTTCA